AAATAATTTTATCTACATTAATTAAAAAGGACTAGTAATAATTGAAAATGTCATATGCCTGTAAATAGCTCAATAATATTGATATTGATACATTTTATGGTGAATATAAAATGCTAATATATAACATTCAGTGAAAATGTCATGTACCTACAAATGTAGGCTACGGTAATTTGTTTTTAGAGTTACATAAAAAACCAATTTTGCATAAAAATTCGCATTTTCCCTTAATTTCTTTTTTTGTTTTTCCAGCTATTTTGAAAACTATATGTAATTTTTACTTACCGAATACATCAACAAGATTCACTCATAGGCACAAATTGTGGGGGGTCTTGGGAGGTGCTAATCCCCCCCCAAAAAAAACCTAGGACATACAATTATTGAATTATTTTAATATGCTATATTGCAATGGTCTGCTTGCGGCTTGCCTTTAATATATTCAGCCCCCCCCCCCCAAGTCAAAAGTTGAAATTGTTTATGGATTTACTTTCCCATCGTAAAAGATACTGAAGTTGAAAATCGAAGAAATTATTTCGATTACTTATCAGCTATCAGTTATCATGTACAAACAAAAAAAAATAAACACACATAATATTAAAATTAGTACATTCATTGCTCCACTCTGAATCTAAAATAAAATAAATTGTCGTAATCTTTATTACATAATGTGAAGAGTAGGTACATAGTACAGGGGAAAAAAGGTAGTAGTACATTTTATCGATTTTGATTTTAAGATTTGATTTAGTAGCACACTAGGAGTAATATTGAGTGTGATTTTCAGTGAAAAAAGCTTTCAGTCCGCTATTATCGAAAGGTGATGGAATACTGATGAAGAAAGATTTAAATCCATGTGGTTGTCGATAAAACAGGTTGAATTCAAACTCCGAAATATCCATTGGTTTCTTAATAAAGAAAAAATACTGAAGTCCATACTTATTATTGTTTTGATATATTTTTATTTCATAGTAATAATTATACAATTATTTTTAATTTAATTCAACTTCTTTTCAGTGTAAATACATTTTACTAAAATATTAGTTCATAAAGTGTGGTTTTTGTTTAATTATTAGATGGGTAGAAATGTATAAACTTTGTTTTTGCTCTCCTAAAAAATTTACAAAAATGGTTAACTAGTAACTACCTACCATTTTTCCTCTGTATCCTTCATATGCTATAATGGAATAAACAATAGAATATTTTTTAACTGACACTAAGATGAAAAATCGGATATTTATACGCATTAAATATTTTAAAAGATTGATAGAGAATGCGTATTTGTTGTGATTTATTCAACTTGAAAATATTTATAGGTCAATATTCAAAATACATCAATGAAGTAGTGAGTATGAAACTTGAGTAATTCTTTAAACATTTAACTATTTTCAGTTTAAAGGTAAATAAGAAAATGTATAGGTATTATAATATTATAATATCTATATCAGATAAAATTATAAATATTTAGGTAGCTATTTTCAAATTAATAAGGTTTATCGTTTTTATTTTATTTTATTTTGAGATTCATGATGGCCGATGAACATTTCTTTGAACACCATTATACCGAATATTAAACAACCAATTGGCAATTGAACAAAGTTTGAATCATATAAAGACATAGAGTTGACATTATTTAAGGACAACAAAGTAGACGGTATATATTTTACACTAAATTTAAGATACAAAAATGTTTACAAATTTTGTCGATGTAATATTTTCTGTTAATGTTTCTCACAAATCTAAAATTTCGTGCAAACGTTAAATTTGTATTTAATAAAATAAATAGGTTTATTATGTCTTTAGATAAAGTTCTTCTCAAGAAAAAATATTGTATAGAACTGTAATAACTAATCAATGATATATTATTTACTACGAAATACAACCATAGTTCAACCAGATAGGTACTTTGTATAATATTATGAAAGATTAAAAATAATAACCACTTATATAATAATACCTATATTGTAGAAAGTAGAAATAAAATGTATAATTTGGTTGACTAAATCATTAATATTTAATACCATGGCATGCTCCTACAATAAATTTGAATATACATGCTCAATTTTTTTTCCTTGTATTTAAATATCGTAAGTATTCTAATCCCGCGCACAACGAGTTTTATATACCTAGGTAGGTACCTATATATGGTTTCTTTTAGAATTACCTATAATTGTTTTAAAATTATAAATATAGTAATCGCTATAATCACTAATCCATTTCGGCAAATATATAGCTACTTATATACGGTTATGAGGTACCCATACCACACAATATTTTTTTCGTATCGAGTCGTTAAAGTAAATAGTATATTTTTCACATTAGGTACCCATACAATAATTTTGAAACGACTTTACGCGTAATTATTGTAATAATATTGTAATGTTGTTCACGTATACTAAATGGTTTATTGTTTCTTATCTAAACAAACAAAAGACGGCGCACTAGGCTTTTACGCAGCATTATTTCCGTTTGTTATGAAAACGAAGTAGCGTTGTTATGTGTACGCAGTCGGACGCGTTTCAAAGTACAAGCAATGAGTGAAAGACCGGATGACTACGGCTATCGTTGAAGTGTCAATACCTACCGGCCCGTACGTTGACAATAAAACGTGGTGTCGCATAACACGACTGTGGTTAGGCTAACGGCAGGGAAAAAGCGGATTTCGGGTGGTTTGAATTTCCCGCCGACGGAGCTTTGGCCACGGCGCGCCACCACCAGGCAAAACGTTGCTGCCGTTCGTTGGGCGCGCGGAGCGCCGACGTCCTGTCCGGCGTCGCGCGAGCAGCAGCAGCTGCTGCTACACCAGGTTTCCGCGGCGGTGTAACAGTGTGACCGCCACGGACGACCGAAAATCCTGCCCCTCGGTGGAGTCGCGGTGTCTGTGCGGCGGTAACCGGCGGACAGAGGCATCGCCGTTCAAGCTCAGTCTGTTGCCCGGTTACAGTAGAGAAGTGGGGGGGGGGCGGTGGGACGAAAATCGATGCAACCGCCGCTCGACGGCCGGTGACGACTGACGACGCCGACGCGACACGGCGTGGCACTCATGGAATTTTCGGGTATCGACCGCCGCGTGATGTTGGCGGTCCGCATAGCCTCTTTCTCACCAACCGACCCACCCACCCACCGACCCTCTAACCCGACCGGCACCCAACACCAAACATCGCGTCACGGAGGTTTCGCGCTTTTCGGGTCCATCCAGCGCCGCCACTGTTGGTTTTTGAATACTGGCGGGTTGGGGGGAGGGGAAAGACCGTTTGGTCGCCGAATTTCGTCCCCGGAAACGTAAAAAATCCTACCGACCCGTTACATTTTTAACCGACAGAGGTCGCCACCGCTGTGAAATACAGAAATGGGTGTCTGTAATGCGGCTCTGTAGTCTGTATGGCGTGTACGCACGGGAGTGTGCGCGCATCTATAATCTCGTTAATAACGAATTACGAAACTACGAAACCCAGTGCGGCGCTCTTGTCAGAAATGATTGGCTTCTTTAAAATTGAATTAAGTCTAACAGGATAATAAAGGGGCCGCGCGGACGACCGGCATCAGCGCCAAGCAGCACCGGCACCGGCACCTAGCAGCAGTAGCAGGCCATCGCGTGCGTGCCCGTATATGTGTGTACGTGCGTGCGTGCGCGTAAAAAAAAGATTGAAAAAAACACGACAACACATAAGTCACAACAAAGACAACGGTCGACGGACGGAGAGCGGTCTGACTATACTACTATAGTGTCGTCGTCGGCGGTCGGGGTACTCGGTGCGAGTACTTACACTGTACACAGTGCACAACGGCCGTTCGCGTCGCGCCGTTTTTCCGTCACCAGTGTTTGAGTTCGTGTCGTCGAAACGTTAACGTACAACATCGTTCGGCCTACCGGTGCGGTGGTGGCGTTCAGTAGCCCCCCGTGTGCTCGGTACGAGTGTGGTATATAGTTGTTGTTGTTGTTGTTGTTGCTCGTACACGGCGGTGGTGTAGATTAAAATTTCCGGTCGACCGTTTCACATCAGCTGCTGCACACGGGCCGCCGGATCGTGTATACACACACACACACACACACACACGCGTATAATATATTCGCCACACCACCGCCGCAGCGTCTTCTTCACTCGCTCACGCGCTCTCTCACTCTCGCTCTAGCGCGCGCACACTGCTGCCGCCGCCGTCACCACACCCAGCCGCGCGCCGGCGAGACGACCGCCCCAGCCGAGTGCGAGATATCGCCGTACCCACACACACTCACACACATACTCGTACACACTCACGTATTATACACGTCGTCGTATAATATTATAATAATATAACACTCGCACACGTATAATATGTGTGGAGGAGTGATGTAGATGATAATATAATTTTGTGCTGAACGGAACGCGTGAAAAATCGCATTTGCATTATTTCCTCTCGTTTAGCAGCCCTTCCGCAGTAAGTGTGTGCGTGCGCGCTCGTGTCATTTTTCACTCGTGTGTGTGGCCGTCGCCCATCGACGGATAGCGATTTCGTGTGCGAGTGTGTGTGTGCGCGCGCGTGTGTGTGTGCGAGCCGCGTTCGTTCCGTTTTTTTCGTGCGACCGATCTCTCGCCGCCGGATACCCACGGACACCCACTGGCTCGACGACTGCCTAACCCACTCGGGATTCGCACCACCACGCCGGCTCTACTACCGGCACCACCAGAGATGTGTTGTACATGGACGATGGCGTGCCTCCGGTTGTCGCCGCCGTCCTAGGAGGGTGACGGACGGCCAGAGTCGTGGTGTTGGACGACGACGACGACGACACACACACCCACCCACAAGCACAGTGCGTTTTTGGTGAGGCACGGCGAGCTGCGGGTCACTGTGGAGTGGCACGAGGTGTCTGCTGCTGCTGGCCGCGTTGGTGGTGGTGGTGGTGGTGGTGCTGAGTACAGCGGGTGGACAGTGCAGCAGGTAATAACGGACGCGCCGCGGCAGCCCACTGTCCTCCGTCGTCGTGGTGGACCGGGCCGCAAGGTGCTGCTACTGTCATCGCTGAAATGGCGTGTTGCCTATCTGAGGAGGCCAAGGAACAGAAGCGCATCAACCAGGAGATCGAACGACAGCTGCGGCGTGACAAGAGAGACGCCCGGCGAGAGCTCAAACTCCTGTTGCTCGGTAAGTACCGTTAGTCCGCTTGGCAGCTCTATAGTAAATGATTCAGTTACCTCGTTCCAAGCCGACCCACTGATAGACACCTAGGTCAACACTGACTCTTAAATGTGTCTGTCGGTAGACCTCTTGTGTACGTAAGCTCCTGTCCATGTAATCTAGGTAGGTTTAAAATCTTTGTTTATCTTTCGTGAGTAGGTACCTACCTATAGTTTTAATCATTATATAAAATTCTAGCTACAAAATATCTCATAATTATTCCTACACCCGTTCCTACAGTATATTATTGAAGACGTACAATATAAAAGCTCTAATGCCACTATTTCTTTAAAAAAAAGTTTTGAAACTTTAAAGTTAAAACCTCCCTAAGACTAAGAAAATGTATAAAATTATTCTTGGTTATTGCTCTCTCTTGTATAGAGGTACCTATAGATAAATACCTAGTTTTTTTTTTTATTGAGTGCTAATCGAGGTGCTCATTAATTAAAATAATTTATTATTGTATTAGTGGGTTTACTAATAGGTACAGACTTATATTTTTAATTATAATATTATAAACTTTTAATAATTACTTAACTGTACCTAATCTTAAATAACTAAACTCATTTGAGTATGGCTTCTTAATTGTATCTATTCTTTTCACAGAAATCTAGTATAGACAGTAGGTATAGGTAATACATTTATACTGTACCTAATATGTTCTGTATAGCATATAAATAAACACAATTTAATCATCTACCTACCTTAGTATCCATAATTATTTTTAAAATCAGTTTTTAAGTTAATGTCAAATTAAAATATTTAGAACTCTTATATCTGATTTTTTGCATTATTATATTTTAATAAATATCCAAAGCTATAATATGACGTAATTATGTTTTTGATTTCTTTTATTAAACTAGGTACCTACCTACTATGATAACAAAAATTTCAATATCTTTTACTGATATTCACCTAGGTACTTTGTAATTATTTGTTTCTAATATCACTGTTAGAAATATAGAACTTTTATGGAATCATAAAATGAGATAGGTAGGTACTGTTTGGGAAAACAAAAAATGATTTATAAGCCTAATTTTTTCTGATTATATTTAAAATGGTTTAGATTTAGGTACCTAGGAACCTATATTATCCTATATAGGTGAGGCCTTGGTAATAGGAATATATTAAATACAAACTATAGAATAAATACAAATATTAGGTAACCACTATCGTATTATATTATTCATAAATATACTTGTAGTAAATATCCTAAATTGGTTAAAAAAAATTCAATTTGTAAAAAAACAATAACTAAACTTATAGATAAAGTTTTAAATGCTAAAGCAATTTATGTAAACATATTTTTTCTATTAATAATCATGGTAAAAAACTAGTATTATTTCAGTATATATGGGTAGTTTGTTCTACGGTTAGAATAGAACGTTAAGTTGAGTTTCGTCAAAAAAAAATTCTGCTATGAAGTAAGCTATGCTATGCTACTGTAGAAAAAAATGTAGGTACCACCTACCAACTTGATTATTGAAGTAATGGATTAACATATTTGGTACCTACTTGATAAATATTTGACATACCTACCTGAATATGGTATCATTGATTATTCTACAAAATGGTAAAGTAGATAGGTAGGTAAATGATTTAAACATGATTCTTATTTATATATATATACCTAAATAAAAATAATAATAAGTTTATAAAATAGTTCTTGAGTGCCATGTATTAGGTACTTATTTAACCATTATCTGATTTTTTAGAAAATATGGTGTGTTTAACTTTTACTAGAACTGTTGATACACATTTAATATAGATGGTAACTATTTACTTACCTACTATAATAATAGGGATCCTACTTACTAACAAACATACACTATTACCTGTGAGTAGATACTAATAAAAACTTGGCTTTAATTCCATGAAATCCAAACATGTAGGTATCTAATCGACAAAATAATGTTGCATTAGCCCTATCAATACCTATATTGTATATATTCTTGGCCATAAACATACCTAAAATAATTTATATTTATTACATTTAATTTGTTATAGGTACTATTTTAAACATAACAAATTCTTTTTATATTGCTTCATATAGCCTTATTAAATATATTTATTTTTTTTATTTTCTAAAATATAATGTTTCATTAAAAATATGTTATTTAATTATATTAGGTGCCTATATTAGGAAGAAAGCAAAAAATGTAAAAAATGTTGTCACTAGCAAAATCCTCATTCATTGCATTTCTCATGTTGTAACTTGGAACCTACATAGTATGACTTATATCAGAACATGTAGGTAATATAGGTTATCTACCAAATATAAAAAAATAACTAATAGTAGGTTAGTACCTAAGTACACTATTAATGATATTTTTTATTTTAGGATCTGGAAAAGATAATAATTTATTCTGATATAGGTACATTATACATTTGAAGTTTTATGTAAAAGGTGCATCATTAAATAGTTGTTACTTGTTACTAATTATATTTGGTTACCTATATTTTCTTAATTTAAACTGTTAAATTATGAAATTAAAAATATTCTCCTATGATATGTAGGGTAGGTGCCTACCTATATAAAATAGACCAAGGCAGTATCAAATTTTACATTAAAATCTTTTTTATCAGTGTTGAGCACGGATAAACAAATCAAATTCATACAATAATAATATTACATACTTGATAATGTACTTATGAGTAATTAAATTGTCTAGCCATATTTTTTATGGATAAAATATTGTCCTTGGTACCTCTACAGTATAATTGTTATTATAATTGGTACTTAATTTTAAATAATTGTATACAATTTATTTAAAGCTAACTTTATATAAGTACCTAAGTATACAGGATAATCGGGAGGATAATGATAAACTAGTCAATCATTTAAAAGTTGTGTAAATTATGATTCACAAATTTTAAATTAAATGTTGATGTTACCTACTTCTACTAAGTTTGTCCACCATCTTATTTTTATTTTTCAATTACCTATACTCTTTTTCACGAGAGAACGGTACCGTTTCGCGCATGTAAAATGATTCGATTGGTGCGTGAACGACCACGTGATCACGCTTACCGCTGATAGTTGGTGGGGGATGCGGACCCGTTTTGGTCGGCCGCCGGTACCTTTCTCTCGTGAAAAAGAGTATAGGTATATTTAGAAAATTACTTTTTTGTTACCAAAGTAGACTTTGAAATCTTAAATTCCTATCCTAGCTGGTGTCCCCAAAACCCTATTTCTTCTCATATTCTGAACAACATATTATACACGGTAGAGTGTGTACCAACCAAGTATGGCTTGATCTTCAGTAGTGAATTTACAAAACACAAAATTATACTATGTGCCTTTTATGATTTACCCATTAATTACCAGTCAATACTTACAAAATCACTTAAAAATATTGAACCATTCTCAACGGTATTCTAAATAGAAAATTAAAATAAACAATGATTGTCCTTACCACTTTTTCAATTCCAGTTCCTCGATCAAAATTGTATACACAATTAAGTATTATCATTAATATGAAGTAAATAAATTTTATTATTTAAATTAAAATAATTAGTCAACACTGTAATTTATTACATTGATATAATAAATATTAAAACATATTAATTAACAAAATTAAATTAAACTTAAGCGTCTACCACGTAGAGTTGCTGCTGCATTGCACTCGTCGATTACAATTTCAGAATCTATAACTTGATTTCTATCAATTTGTAAGTTGTAACATAGCTATATCAGACAGCCATTCTTGTCCCACAGTTTGTTCTGAGGTAAGTTTTAAACCTTTGTTAACAAGAAAAACTTCGTTCACAAAACGGCAGTGTTTGTAGGTATTGTCATAAATAGTTTCAAAATTTCAGATAATAAAGGAAACCCATTTTTAATTTCACCTTGTTTCATATAATCTAATTTGTTTTTCAATACACTATTATTTGAGTTAGTTTGTTTAGATTTGAACATTCTATTAAATATTTTTAGTTCTACTTGAAATTCATGATTATCAAACTTATAGGTCTTACAAATAATGTCTAATAATGTTAACATTATTTTATAAATATTTAAAAAATTGGCAAAATTTTACATTATAAATATAGAAAATTTAGGGGGTGCAAGTGCACCCCTTTGCACCCCCAAGATTACGCCTATGTCCATTAATATACCTTTAATTCAAAAACGGTACAGTTCCATCGGTTTTCTTAAATAATAAAAACATCATCCTTCGGTGGCTGTTACATAGGTTTGATATTAAACAGACGGCTTGTTAAACACCAATCTTAGTGTAAAGAATAAACTGTTGCTAATTTGCTATACTTTAGAACATTATAAAAAATCAAATATCTCAAAAAAAGCTAAGCCCCTTCCACAATCAGCTTACTAACTCTTTCACTCCCAGCTTGAAATCAACAAAATCTGATCCTTGCCCTAGACTCCAACACTATACCAAGAAATCATCTTAGAACCTATAAAAGAAACTGAAAACATAATTCAACAGAAAAGTTTTACCGCTGGTCGCTGGATGATTTTTTCCAATTTTTGCCATTCGTGTATCTATTATATTATAGACTTTAGATGTCAAGTTTCTAAAATGAAAATGTTGTTAATTGTTATAATAGATTGTAAAATTATTTCAAGAACAAAGAATCAAAATTACTTAAGATTTTAAATATCGCCAAGTATGATTTGACTTACCTTTTCCCCAAATGTATGCTCTATTTTATCCATACATCACGACACAAAACAGATCTTATAATAAATAACTTGATCAACAATCTTGATATTAAATCTCACTTGTATGACAATCTACAGTTTTTGAAATCACACACAAGAATTGTTTGATACATACCTAGTTCAATTATTAATCTAATGAACACATTCAAATTATATTTTTATATCCAGATCATTAGTAAATATGTAATTAACATGATCATAAATCTTAAAATAATATTTACAAAATTGTAGTTTAATTTCAAAAATGACATTTAAATTTTGTTTTACTATTAAGGGGATT